CCCCAAAACCCCAAAACCCCAAAACCCCTAAATTATTTCAAAAAATTGAAAAATCCCAAATTCGAGAAAAAAAATTTCAAAATTTCAACTCCCCTCAAAATGCCTTCATTCCCCTTCAAAAGCCCTAAAACCCACTTTTTCCAGTCCAATAAGACCCCAATCCTCCACTCCCCCAACTCTGGACCTCCAAAAACCCACCTGTATCACCCCTAAAACCTGTTAAAGTCCAATTTACTCAAATTATAACTTAAGAAGCATCTGTCTCTTCGCCATCAGTGATCTTTGGAGCCAGGTAATAGAACAGATTTCCAAGCCCACTCATTTCAAACTGGACTACAAGAGGTGTATCTTTAGACATCTGCAGGCTGACTTCATTAGCAAGAGGAGCTGCCTTAGTAAACATCGTTAGGTATTTTAGCGCAAAGGAGAGCTCGACAAGGACATCTGCCTTATCGCCTTTAGCGTCAGGATTACCGCTCTGGTCTATCTCACCAGTTGAGGTGTTGATTTTTATGTTGCCGCTTCCGATATCGCCAGTTACGGAGAACTCAACGTAGTCTAGTGTGGTTGTGATTCCGACTGTGTCTGATATAACTCCTAGTTCTTTACAGATTTTAGTGAACTCATTTGAGTTCATAGTAATCTCACTTGTATATTCTGTATCTGGGATCCCCATATTTTCTGACTCAAGAGTAAGCAGGTTCAGGTTGAAAGTAGTGCTCTTAGAATTGGTAGAGCTTTCGAATATAATTGTCAAACAGGAAGGATCTTCATCAAATTCTAGGGTGATCGAATCTTCTGGATTTGCTAATTTCAATACTTTAGAAAGATTTCCAATGCTCACTCCTATAGTTGCTGGTTTCTCTCACTTAAAATAGTCAAACCCTTCTTGATTCATCATCAGGCTTACAAGAGCAACATGTGAGCTGTCCATGGCTTGTAGGGAAATTCCTGTGGCTGAGGTATCAATATTCACGTCAGAAACTAAGTCTTTCAAGGCATCAACAATTCTCTTGAACTTTTGTCAGTCAGCTAATTTTCACTTGAAGTTGGTCATGTTTTACTACAAAAAGTGCTTGATTTATTTAAAGATCACTGACACGAAGTATGCTAGCATCTAAACCTCACTTTTGTAAAGTTTATAAATATCCTTCAATAAAGCACTGGGGTAAAGGGGTTTTGGGGTTTTGGGGTTTTGGGGTTTTGGGG